TTTTTTTGGGGTGGGGGGTGGGGGGGCCTGAAAAAGACACACCCACATGCACTCAGCAGAATTAGGGCAGATTGTTAAGTTGGTTCTTGCAAAAGTCTCTGAACAAATCCACTGTTCCACTAATATTGCCATGATCTCTTCCGGCTTGTCTTTGCTTTGATGCTTGCGTTGGCCAGGGCTTGCATTACTGCCACCAAAGCCAAAGCTCCAAGTGTAGGAACAGCCGCCCAGCTATTCACTTCCCATGGTAGGTAACCAACGAAGTTCCAGTCTCCCAGGCTGACCGACTGCATTTCGGACTCGTTTGGGCTGGTTGCCATAGATCAGCCGCAACTAAGCCAACAAACTGAGGGTTCATACCAGTTCATAAGGCTTCATACATTCAGGCCCCCCCTCAAAAAAAAGAAGTGGTTCCCCATGTGCTTGTTCTTTTGAACCACCCAAAACATGGCTCCCTCAGAAACACACTAATATATATACATATATTAGATATATATATATATATAATTTATAAGCCACGGACAATACTGCTTACAGTTGGTTCAAATGGGCAGGCAGTAGGGCCTCTAAATGATTTGATTGGGTCGGCCCTCTTCTCGTTTTCTCTAAATGAACAACAGAGTACCGGTCATATTGTCGATTGCTATGTCAACTTCATATTAGTAAACGGGGTCCCCCCCCAACGTTTTCTTTTTGTAATGTTTGATTTGTTCCGGGCAAAGAACCGTAATAAAACAAAAAGAAGTACTTGCAGCATTGCTTCTAGCACTTGTAGCACTTATAGTAGTAACTGTAGTACTTGTAGTAGTCCTTGTAGTACTGCTTCTAGTATTTGTAGTACTTGTAGTAGTGGCTGTAGTACTTGCAGTAGTACTTGTAGTAGGACTTGCACTGCTTTCTGTATTTGTGATACTTGTAGTGGCTGTAGTACTACTGCTTCTAGTACTTGTAATACGTGTAGTAGTACTTGTAGTACTTGTACTTGTAGTACTTGTAGTACTACTTCTAGAGTATTTGTAGTACTGCATCTAGTACTTGTTTTACTACTTCTAGTACTCCGAGTACTCGTAGTACTGCTTCAAGTACTAGTAGTACTTGTAGTACTTGTAGTAGTACCAATACCTAGTTCTTCCTAGGGGTCGCTTGGGGGTAATTATTAATGTGAACCCTTTTACTAATGCGGGTTTGGGGAGCTTGTGTGTTGTAGTCCAGGGACATCACTTTTGTAAAGAGACTTAACTTACAAGCCGCACTTTCCGGGCATGTATGTTTTTTGGAGATCTGAGGTCTCTTGGGGAGACTTTGAAGGTTCCAGTTATATAAATTACCTTGCCTGGTGCGCTGCACACTTGTTGCATGTGTCTCTGTGCCATCAACTTCTGCACGCTACCTGCTTACTGTGAATCATTTGATTTTAAACTGGTTTTCTCCCTGATACAAAAAAGCTTGTTTGACTCGCCCCCGCGTTTCGGGGAATTTTATTAATGTGAGTTTTCTTGGTGGTTTATTCATGATGTGCTTTGGAGGGTCGACTAGGAGGGGCAGAGTTGCATGTTTGCAATTAACTTTTGAATTAGCACCTTCTTAACTTAGCATTGGGAGAACAGCGGGTCCGGTGGCCGATAATTTTATTAATACGCCCCCATGTATTCAACTTAGGGTATGGGTTCATTCAGCCACCCATGGATCAAGCGAGTTCGCCGCCCTATGGGTTACCACCAGTAAAACAAGGGATGGGTTGATATATCATGATTTCCCAATTCAAGAGTAGCTCATCTAGATTGGGTCCCCAAGTTGCCATTCTTGTTTGGGGGATTGAACCCTAGGGCCACTAGCAAGCTCTACTGTACCAGGGGCCCCGCTTCGCTTTCGGAAGAACCCCCCGGGTTCTGAATCCTCCACTTTCAAATCCACCAGAACCCTAAGGGACTCTCCCAAAGCACATGGACTTTCAAACCTTGACTTTGGACCAAATCAGGGCATTTTTTGATTCAGAGAAGATCACGACCTTTCGAAACCACGAGATTTGCGTACCAACTCAGAGCAGTGTTTTCTTTGAGAACTTCGCTTCGCAGCACGCAGCGGATTCCCCCACTTGGGCAGCGGCCGTTTCGGCACCCCGAGCTCTTCCAAAACCATGCGCAGGGCTTGCACTGGCCCGAGAGGTGGAGGCTGGAGCCCAAGGACATACCCTCGGATCCGACGCGCTCGAATCCGACGCGCTCGCATGGGGGGAGGGGGGAAGGGGGGGAAAGGGGGGGGGGAAGGGGGGGAACGGGTGGGGAAGGGGGGGGAAAGGAAAAGGGGGGGCGCAACCAAAGGGAAAACAAGCCGACCCATCCGTTCCCTTAAAAGATTGGTTTGGAAAGGCGACTCAGGCAAGATTGGTCTTGACATGTTGGTTAGCTTGGGAAGAAAGCTGCAATGGTAAATGGTCCCGCCTTTAGTCAGTTGACAGCATGCTCATTCACCCCCAAACCACTGAGACCCAGGGGAAATCGGGGATCCCATGAGACTCCTGAGGGTGGTTGGGTTGGAACCCATCTTAGAATGCGCGCAAGGAAAAGCTACACAGACTATATGATGGGTATGGAAAAGGTATACACTAAAGACGAATTAGAAGCGCAAAGCAATTACCCATGTGGCTGTCTCTAAGCCACAAAGATCACAAAAAGAAACACAATGATATACGCTAGATCAAAATGATTGAAGTCCCTGCAAAACACCTTTTTCACATCTTTTCACATGACTTATCTGGATCCTGAACATATCTTCAATTTGGGTACCTTCTTTTGAGGGTGCCCTTTGGGTCTGGGTTGCTTTAAATGGAAACCGGAATGAACACCTTAGTTCTATGTCAATGTGTGTTTAATATGTTTAGGTGTTTTTGTTTGGGGGGGGCCCTAAAAAAAGACTCCTCTGAAGAAAAGGTCCGTCAATAACTCTTTCCCTCCCCTCCCACCAAGGTCCACGGTTTGACATGTTCCTTTACAATGAGTATGTTTCGTTCGAGGATACCGTGCCCACATCTTTTGTGATTTAAAGGGAACCAACAGGACAACCGAAAACCATATTTGTGGGGTCCAAACGCTACAGAAAAACACACACCCAAGTTCACCCAGGTGCATGTTCGGGCCATGTTGTGTTTCCTGGCCTGCGGCGCCAATCAGACACTCACCGGGTTTGTCGCTTTTTAGGGGACCCCGAACACCTTTTAAAGATGGAAAGCAGGAATGACGAATTGATGGCAATTGCGCAGACATGGGTAAGCAAAGGGCACTCCATGATGGGAGCCCAATTGAACATAACATGCACATGAAGAGCACAAAACATTCAAGCACAGGGCACCAATGCTGAGTTCGGAGAAAGGATATTGCGCATCACTGCAACATGCAATGCATGAGGCGAACAGAACCGCAAAGAATCGCGTGTGCTTTCTTGAGGATCCGTGCCCTTTTCAAGTTGGGCTACAGGGCTTTGGGATCGGAGACGCCTATAAAGAAGCCTGGACACCTTTCGCGGCGCCTTTTTCTTGGGGTGCCCGGGATGGGCAACCATTTTTGCACTCAAAGTCATGCACCCCAAGCATCAGATTTCGGACCCTCCATAGGGGTCGAACCGGATCTGCATTGGACTGGTTTGGACGCCAAAGGAGCTCCCGCTGGCTGAAAAGATGCCGAGCGGCGCCTACGCCTTTCTTAGAGCACATCAAGAATCAAAGCCCTGGCGAGAGACGCGGAGTTTGAACCAAACGGCCGCACGAGCCGCATGGAGCGAGCCACGGAGCTCTCGAATCACAACTTCGGAGAGGGGTTCTGATCGAGGCGGGACTCTACCTTTTCACTATACGACTGAAACACAGTGGTTGATGTTCCCAAAACCGATTCCTGGCCTTAAAGTCTATCAAAAGATAAAACGCTGCTGACAAGGGTGAGAACCTTTCTGGTGGGTAGTGCCCTGTGTATCCTTTTCCAAGACAAACTCAACACCCCTAAACTCAGCCCACTTGATTCATGTTAAATCACTAGGATGGCGCGGCTCATATACGAAGGACTCAGCTTTAAATAGTATAGGGTCTCAGCAAACTATAGGCAGAGTTGGAGGAATGCCCCACGAGAGCGTGTTTCTCCAAGCTATACAGTTCCTTCACACTTGCACAAAGTTCAGCTCTGTGCACCTGAGAGTGACTGTATTGCAATTTTACGTGGCTCAAGGCGTTTTACCCACGGTTTGTACGCGTTTCAACTTGAGGCCTCTTTCTATTTTGGCCTCGCGGGTCATGCTAAGGCTGTTTATTGCGGTTTCACGCGCTTAAACTCAAGGCCTCGTTATATTATAGGCCTCAGGGGGGTCATGTGAATGCATTTTAGTGAGTTTTAGTGCGGCACTTTGGCCTGCGCTGCATCTTTCCAAACTTCACCCGGGTATTTCTCAATGTCTTCCTTGTGCCGTCCACCAGTGTTGCAGCGGGAAACCTGTAACATTGCATGCACCTGACAAGAGGGTAAGCACTGGGCTTGCTAATAGATTCGGGCAAGGGCGCATGGTTGATTTCCCATTTGTTTCAGCCGTCGTTACAAAAACCAGCCATTTCCCCAGGGTTTTTGGTGGTTTTCTAGAAAGAAGGATCCCTGGAAGGAATGGGGAAGTTACCCCTAGAACAATTCAGGCACTGCTTGCAGGTTGGCGGAAGATAGCTCAATGCATGTTTGTCAATGGGTCAGGCCATGCCGCAAGCTCCCTCAGTGGTGTCAAGCACCAATACGACTTTGTAAAAACGCACAAGATTGGGGATTGCCTGCTGCCTGCTGGGTTCCTTGCTTGGCATGGCTCAGTTTCTAGGTCCTCCAGTAGAGAGGTTAGAATAGGGGTACCCTTTTTTGTGTCTATTTGAGTAGGGGAACCCTCCCCCAAGAAAGGGTAAAAGGGCACTACTGGGGGGCCTAGGTGTTCTCCAAGCAAACTGCACAAGAAACAAACTGCACTCTTGGCTTCCGGGCCCATTGCAAACACAGCCTGCCGGGCGTCGATCGGACATTCCTGCACTTGCTGCAGAATGGCTATGAACAAGTAGACCTCCTACTAACGTGGGCGAACACATTTCGCCCACCCAACATGAACTTGCACCAAAGCTTTGCCTGGTGCCCGGAGGGCTCCACCGATACCCTTCGGGCAAAAGAGAAGCATACCCTCCCAAAGCAAAAATGAACCTTGAAAGGGGGGTGCACTTACTTGCAGGCAAACAAGTCTTCCAGGGGGCCTCCAGATTCCATGTCGGTTGACTTCCATTTGTGTTTCGTCCCCTGGAACAGAAAACATACAGTATGTGCGGAGGTGATAGATTCCCTTAGAAAACACTGCGGAAATGCAACATTGTCTTAAGCAAATGAAAGTTCAGCCAAAGGCAACTCAAGGCAGCATAAACCAAGAGGCAACATGCGATTGGTCGCAGCAAACCACCGCCCACTTCTACCTTTGGGCGAAACACAGGCGGAAACCTAAAGCCTTGCGTTCTGAGGGATGTGAAAAAGGACCCCCACTTGGCCCAAGCCTGCTGAAGAAATTGACTCTCGCATGGAATACCAGTTTCAACAAGGTCAAAAGGCATCCTCAAGACTCAAGCGCAGCGTGCATCGCAAGACTCGTCCCGCTGGGCCTTGAAGTCAATCGCGGGGCCTCGGTGCATGATCGTGCACCACTCAGCCGTGCATGTGCGGGTCGGGCTCACATGTTGCACCTATAGACCTATATGTGGCTTGCACAACAAACCACGAGTCGGGGACCACAAGCTCACTTTTTGAGCGGGTACCTTAAACTGCTTGCTTAGCACTGTTATGGTCGTCCAAAGAAGGATACAGTCCAACTGAGGAAAGGAAAACCAATTCATTCTTTGCTGTTCAGCCAAAGAATTGGCTATGCCCGGCCCCAAGGCGCCACCCCACTCTATGACCATCTTTCGTGAGCGCTCTTTGGGCACCATCTTTGGTATCCACCCCTTGAGTGGGGGCAAATTCCGAAGGTCGAAGCCGCTTGCTGCTACTGATCTACGTTCCACTGATATTACTTCCGAAATTGACTTTCTACTCAAGACTGGGCCTCTTGAGGTCGTCGTCAAACAAGGCGCGTGCGTGTCTGCGCGCTTGCATGCGCGCCAGCATGCATGTCCGCGTGAGTGTGTGCATGTGCGTGTGCTGCTTCCTTATCTTACTGCAGGGCTTTTCAGAACTTCAAGCTAGATGCATGTGATATGCGTCTCCTGGGTGGGGTTTTGAAGGTATCGAGGATATGTGGGGCCTGTCCTATATTACTTTGCCAAGGATCGGGTCCTGCCGCCCTTGGGCAGCACTGGCGCGGACTTGCATGCACACGCAGAAACTCCTTGCCGTACGACCTCTGTGCGAAGTTTTCATGTTGCTTGTGCGGGTGATTCAAGAAGTCAAGGCATTCGAAGGGTATTCATGATCAGGACTAAGGCTCTTCAGGCCAAGGCTGAAGAGCAATGCCACGGAAGCTTTTCTAAGCAGTGTGTTTGTTGTTCGCACAGCAAACCAGGATGACCTAATTAGGCTTCCAAACCGCTGCGCCCTTCACGGTCTCAGTGTCCGCAAATGTCCGAGGAAAGTGTACGTCGCGGATGCAAAGCCACTGAACCGCACGGCTTAGGACATCCGAAAGACAAATGGCGAGATGTCCTCCAGTGGAGAGGGCAGAATAAGGGTACCAACTTTTTCTGTAGTCTATTTAGTAGGGGAACCCTCCCCAAAAAAGGGTAAAAAGACACTACTCGGAAGCCTAGAATGGCTAGATGTCCTTCTTGGGCTTCTCGTGCTTGCACGCAGCTTGCGCGGAATTTGTCGTGTCAGTTTCTGGTTTCGTCACCGCAGTACGGGCTATCATTTTCTTTCATGAAGCAAGGCAGCGTCAATGCACGAAACCCTGTAATACTTAAGCCTCACATATCCTTTGGGCCGGCCTTGCGCGCTCCTTGCGCGCAAGCTGATACTTCTCCCCGTTCGGCGGGAATGGAAACCGAACACTGGGATCTTGGGACGGCACCCATGTACCAATTATGGAAGTGGTAGAGAAATGCCTTGCTGGCATATATTGGTTGTATATAAGCATCCATACCTCCAAAACCCATACAACTTACTAACTTGGCCGAACAAAGTAATGGCTGAGTTTAGCCCCATGAGCCACCGTGGAAACACGAATTCCGGCAATCCTTGTAATGCTGACCTTGATTCAAAAACAGGAAACACCACTGGAGGTCTGGGACCTGCGAATTGGTCCCCTAGGTCGGACATCAGGGACAGGTTACCCACCCCCCTCCCGGCCTACAGCACCATGGCGGGGCAAGAGTGCTGAAAGCTGACCAGGCTGAGGCTGATTGGGTCCGGCCAACTGGATGCCTTTGGTTCGGCCAAATAGAGGCTCTGGATTATTCAATCCACTTTTTGGCTTTTTTTCAGGGGAAAGGATGAATTCTGTGCATAGCAACCAGTGAACCAATTCGTTTCCAGAACACCCGGGCTCAAACGCTGCCATGGTGAAGTGCTGTAACCCGGCCAGTCGTCCCGTGGAGCTTTGGCTGAGGCCGGTCTGGCAGCATGTTGATTGAAAAACCATACCCGAACGACACCAAACACATGATCAACTGGCAACACCGCAACAGTTCTGCTCAAGCCGGCGCGGCATTGGTGCTCAAGATCCCACTGCCCATGGCCAAGGTCTGCGTTAGCCTCTCTGCACGTTGTTTGCCAAGTGGCCGTGACGGGAAAACTGTTGAAAGAACAACACAATACTTACGATATTTGAATTGCACGATTTCAAGTATGTTTATCCGCAAGTACTGGGCACTATCATAGACCTCCAAGGCTATGAGTAGGGGAGCAATCATCTATAAACCCATAAGGGCTCTTCAGGGCTTGTCCTGCTAAACCGCGTCCCAAGACGCCCCTTGGAGGTCCATGACAACAAAGAAAGGTTGGTGTGCCTTGTCACTCGGCCATGGCTAACTTGGAACCCAGCCAGGTCCAAGTTTGAGGATGGTCTTCTAGGACCCCAAAAAGGCAAGCTCCATGTTTTATTTGACAGGAGGGTAATGCAAAACCGCTCTGTTTCCATTGCCATGAAAACGAGACACTTAGAAATCCCCGGCGCTGCGAAATCCTTTTGCGCTAGGCTGCTTCACAGAGTGCCGTATATGCTGCCAGGGGAAAACAATCGGGACCCGCCGAATTCTGATGTCCACGATTTCGGGTCCCCAATTAAAGAGTCATCATTACCATGTGAGAATGAAAACCCCAGAAACGGGTAAACAAAATCGACTGGTTCCCTTGCACAATCGATTGGATTCCGCCTAACTTCGACGCCCCGGATCCAAGAACCCGCCATAGGAGGCTGGGGGACCCCTCCAAAAGTGATGTACAAGTGGTCTGCATTTTCACTTTTAGTCGCGGCACCCCCCGATCAAAGTCAACCGGGGGTTTATTCATCTGGGGCTACCATCCCCGTCCTTCGAGAAGCCCCCCAAAATCAAGGGATGCCGATGCATCAAGGGCCGCCACGAAACCTACCACAACAAACCACCGCCCGCAGCCATGGCCTTTCTTTGAGTAGGGCAATCTGCAGCAGCAGTGCTATCTTTCTTAGCTTGAGTTCCGCCTTGGAAGAGACAAACCAGCTCCACGAGCCACGAGAACGCCGCGCATGAGGACTCTTTTTGCACGGTGCCTGCTCTGTACCCTGCACCTACCCCAGCCCCAATCCGGGCTCCCTGAATCTGCTTTCCCCCTGCAGCCCGCTGAAGCAAAACTCACTTTCAATCGGCCCGATCCCCTTTAAACATCACCCCCCACTGACTGTATATGGCAACCAAAAGCTGATATCTCAAACTGGCCTTAGATGGGAAATGTAGACCCTGCAAAAGGTGATGTTTCAATCCTCTCTTGAAGGAGATATAGGGAGCCCTGCCTATCCCGAATTTGGCGAACACGAGTATTCACTCGATCGCGCGATGCATTTCTTGCCGGCCCAAGGAGGAGTCTTGGACATTGCTTTATAAAAGGGAAACCAACACCCGGGGTACACTAAAAGCATTTCAAGAAGATGGAACTTCACCGCCTGAACGGTCAAATTTCGGTAAACAGTTGGCTGTGGGTCAAAACCCTGTACCCCTGGTGAACATCAAAATAGGTTGCAAATGGATGTTCATCCACCCCAAAATGGCTCGCCATAGGTTATGCCCCATGGCCAGTTGTTTTTATCCAAGCAACCATTGTTTTTACTGGTGGCCGGTGAACCCCAGGTGCCACCAAAGCGACATGCAAGCCGACTCAGTGAGACGTTCTGCTGCGCCGAAGCTCGGGCTTGTCCAGCGCCTGGACGTCCAAAAGACCCGGGGGGTTGTTGGAGGGAACCCCAAAGTGGGTTTCCTCCTGTGTTCCTTTCCCAGAGGGTCCAAGTACCTCATGAGGATGGCTTTTGGGGGATAACAAGGGGTCTAAGTACCTCCTTAAAAAGGTACTTGGACTCTCTGGGTTTGGTTCTCCTCCTAAAAAAACACGCGCACGTAGATGGGCGTGAATTCTAATTCGGGACCCTCTGGTGCACATCATTTAGGTGGGGTTTTATGTCCACCAACCACTTTCCAGGGGGTTCCTTATTTAAAATCATGGCCATATAGTTTCAGATTGTGCTTCGTATTTAAAGCCTGAAATATGAAACAAACAATTGGGGACACTCCTGTGGGCGGGTTATAGAGGAGACCAAAGTAAAACCACCAGTTTGGAGTTCCCTCATGAAGACAAACCGCATAAGTCACGGAATCACAACAACTAGTTTAACTGGAGCATCCAGAACTACGGGATCTGCAAGCACAGTAAGAACCCTGACTAGGGGACAGCTCGGCGGGAAATGGCCGTTGACATCTTGTGGAACTACACGGCGCTGGCAATGTGAAGAAATATAATACATGTGTCTGTGTTTGAGGCTACCCTTTCTTGGGTTGGCTTAAAGGGAAACGGGGAAAAAAAACAACAACCCGTTTGTTTTACGGGGGGGGTCCTTGTTCTGACTCGGCATGTCACTCAACCTAAAAAAGGCCACGGAGCCAGTCCAAATGCCAACTCCCCAGACTGGCCAGTGTCGAAAACCAATGGCTGGTGCCCTGCTTGGGGAGGGGAAACATCAGCCCACTAAGCTACGAAGCTCATGCGAAATTGGCATTTTCTTTTCTGGACTAAAATTGGACACCAAACACAGTAATCTATGGGGGTGTCTCAAAGTCCATTCCATTTTCTTTTCTGGACTAAATTGGACACCAAACACAGTAATCTATGGGGGTGTCTCAAAGTCCATTCCATTTTCTTTTCTGGACTAAAATTGGACACCAAACACAGTAATCTATGGGGGTGTTTCACTGGACTAAAATTAAACACCAAACACAGTAATCTATGGGGGTGTCTCACTGGACTAAAATTGGACACCAAACACAGTAATCTATGGGGGTGTCTCAAAGTCCATTCCATCTTCTTTTCTGGACTAAAACTGGACACCTAACACAGTAATCTATGGGGGTGTCTCAAAGTCCATTCCATTTTCTTTTCTGGACTAAAATTGGACACCAAACACAGTAATCTATGGGGGTGTCTCACTGGACTAAAATTGGACACCAAACACAGCAATCTATGGGGGTGTCTCACTGGACTAAAATTGGACACCAAACACAATAATCTATGGGGGTGTCTCAAAGTCCATTCCATCTTCTTTTCTGGACTAAAATTGGACACCAAACACAGTAATCTATGGGGGTGTCTCAAAGTCCATTCCATTTTGTTTTCTGGACTAAAATTGGACACCAAACACAGTAATCTATGGGGGTGTCTCACTGGACAAAAATTGGACACCAAACACAGCAATCTATGGGGGTGTCTCACTGGACTAAAATTGGACACCAAACACAGTAATCTATGGGGGTGTCTCACTGGACTAAAATTGAACACCAAACACAGTAATCTATGGGGGTGTCTCACTGGACTAAAATTGGACACCACACACAGTAATCTATGGGGGTGTCTCACTGGACTAAAATTGGACACCAAACACAGCAATTATGGGGGCGTCTCAAAGTCCATTCCATTTTCTTTTCTGGACTAAAATTGGACACCAAACACAGTAATCTATGGGGGTGTCTCACTGGACTAAAATTGGACACCAAACACAGCAATCTATGGGGGTGTCTCACTGGACTAAAATTGGACACCAAACACAATAATCTATGGGGGTGTCTCAAAGTCCATTCCATCTTCTTTTCTGGACTAAAATTGGACACCAAACACAGTAATCTATGGGGGTGTCTCAAAGTCCATTCCATTTTCTTTTCTGGACTAAAATTGGACACCAAACACAGTTATCTATGGGGGTGTCTCATAGTCCATTCCATTTTCTTTTCTGGACTAAAACTGGACACCAAACACAGTAATCTATGGGGGTGTCTCAAAGTCCATTCCATTTTCTTTTCTGGACTAAAATTGGACACCAAACACAGTAATCTATGGGGGTGTCTCAAAGTCCATTCCATGTTCTTTTCTGGACTTAAAATTGGACACCAAACACAGTAATCTATGGGGGTGTCTCAAAGTCCATTCCATTTTCTTTTCTGGACTAAAATTGGACACCAAACACAGTAATCTATGGGGGTGTCTCAAAGTCCATTCCATTTTCTTTTCTGGGCTAAGGAAACCAAAAAAGGCGAAAAGGCGTTGGTGTCAAGTGAGCCTCTTACCACTGACATGGACATCGCCTCCCGCCTGTGGGCTCGACAGCAGCTCCTGATGCGAGAGCTCAGATTTTCCGCATGGGACCAGCAAAATACCCATTTGGGTGGTTCTCAAAACTAAACGAGAGGGGCAAACCGCAAGTTTTGGGTTTCCAGTGTCCACTTACCAGGGCAACCCGTTTTGGAATTCCGGTTTTTGAGCCACAGCCATTTGTAGAGGAAACTCCTTTTGGAGGCCCTTTGTTTGCGCTCGGGGGAAGGTTTGTACATCCGCACCATTTGTTTTTGTCAGGATCACAGGAAAAATGGGGAATGTGTGCAATTGTCTGGCTCCCACACACTTTCCACTGCCTGTGAAGGGAAGGGGGGGAATCTTCCCCACAGAAAAAAAACAAAAAACAAAAAAAAACACGGAACAATCAAACACAAATCCAGTCAGATGCCCGCCAAATCCATGTTGAACGATGGTGAACATACTGGAGACTCAGGTTGCACGGGAGAGCAGAAGGTAGGGATTCATTTTGACTGCTGGGTGCTTTCTGAGGAAGCCCCTGGAAACGGCTGGTTTTTGTTTGGCTGCTTTTCTCAGAAGCCCGTGATATTGGATGAAAGGGGCACCCTTTGTCGTTGCTTGGTTTTAACAGGAACCCCTGTTCAAAGAACAATGACACGGGCGGAATCCACTAGTTGCAAACTCGCGCTGAGATCGACCCACTTTTGAGAACTTATCACCAAATCCCAGCTGTCTCACAAGCACACGTCAGGCAAGCATGAAGACCGCACAGCAGAAACCTTGAAATATAGATGCCCGAAGACTATCTAGACGAGATTTCAGGCGCTGCATTGGGCACGTCCGCAAGTATCCACAAATCACAAGGCTGCCGAATAAACACTTGAGGTTCCAAGTTCAAGTAGCCACTCGAGCTTGTCTCAAAGCACGGGGCCCAAAATTGTTTGGCTTCCTTGTGGTTCGCCTTTGCAAACGAAAGGGGATGGCCACGAAAAAGGCAGACCCATGCGTGCTGTGGCGTCTCCTGCTTCTTCATCTGCAGCATCTCCTGCCAGTACTCATCTGCCAGCTGCTTGTTGCGCAAAGCCTGGCGCTAACTTCAAGTTCAACCTGCGTGGCCAGTTTTCACTCAAAGTCTTGATGTCCAAAAGCTGACACAAGGAACCCCACAAGTAGAGGCTCCTCACAGCTTTTGCTCTCTTTCCACCCTGGCCCTCGTAGATACCTCCTTTTTTGTCAGGGGCTGACATCCTACCCTACAAAAAAGGCCGGGTATTTGGAGGCCAAAAGGTGCCTCCAGCCTTCTTGCCCCTTCAGGCCAACACCGATCCCTTTTTCAGTCCCCGAAGGCCTGTAAAACAACTCCTTACGATCTGTACACCAAAAGGACCCAAAAGGTGAGAGAAGAAAACATATGGCAGGGGAACCTGTTGCAGCCATATAACATGCCCGGTTCCCTAGTCGGAAGCACTGGATATACCACCTCCAATGGGAAAACACAACTTGGTACCTGATTGTGAAGGAACCCCCTCCAACATAAGGAAACCGGGCCAGTGCTGGGATACTAAGTAGGTTGCAACCTTAGTTAGAAAGCAGCCAACCCCGGTCAGCCCACCCATAGCCAGTCTAGCTCACTTGCTAAACTTGGCGATTCGTTGATCCCTTGCTAAAAGCTAGGAACCGCATGTGTGGGGACCGCCAAGCTCTTAGTTATATCCAAGAGAGCAGCGACCGTTTCACCCATCGGCTTTTGGTTCTACCAATCTACCAACATGCTTCACTAACAAGGTTCTAAGCTACAAAAACCTTCTACCCAGACCCGTGGGAATAAAGGAGCATAGCAGGAAATGAGAAGATGACCTTTATAAGCCATCCATTTCAGTCCCTGCCTATCGCACCAGCAAGTTAAAGGGGCCTCAAAAAAAAGAGCCTTGTCAACCCACAGGTGAGTTGCAATCAAAACCTGCAAATGGTCCAAGCCCAGAACCACGTACAGGATTAAGGCGGATTCCCGCAGCTATTTCTCGATCGTCCCTTGCTCCGGCTCAGGTGGACTAAAGGCAGCTCCTCGGCGCGGCAGCGGCGGTTCTCCTCTTCCAAGGCCTCCCGAGTTCGAGCTCGCCGGTGAGACCCTGGGGTTTTCTGGATGTGAATTCGATTTCACCGGCCTGAAATAAGGTGGTTTGGGGCCTATTCCAACCACATAAACCATTTGGGGTGAATTCGGTCGTGTGAGGTCGTTAGAATTCACCCAGGATTTTGCGTTTGGGGGGGGGGTACGTTTGCGGTTTTCTCCATGGATTGCCACCAAATCTAGAGCAACCTCCTTCCAACCCCCCCCTTGTTTGGGTTCCATGGTTTGTAGGGGTTTGCGTTTCCTGAAATGGGATTGATTCGCCATGTTTTGCGAAACCGTGTGTAAATTGAAATGGGGAGTCCTGATCCGCAAACCGCGCCAATTGGGATCCACTAAAGTTTGGGATAAACCATCAACAGCATCATTCCCTGTGGGAAATCTCTCAAGGAGCCCCATCGCCTTGCTTGGGAAGTGATCTTCCATGTCGGTGAAAGATAGTCAGGCTCCCATTTTGTGATTGACGGTTGATTTCCGCCAAAAAGGGAACCTTGGGTAGTCACGCAACTAATGGCTGTGGGTCAAAAATAGGCACCCAAAATGGAACCCTGGCAAATGGACACACGGACTAAAACCTTCCCTGGGGGTTGATTTTGACCCATACCCACAAAAAGGGAACCTTGGGCTAGTCATACAACTAATCTTAACCCCAGATCTAAGTAGAGCCCCGGGTAGCTTTCGATTGGGGGGGTGTTTTCATTTCGTGGGAATCCGGATCACTTTGCTAGGTGACACGCCGCCAACAAAAACAAAAACACACACACACACACACACACAAATAGGTTCTACAGAGATCCGGGGTTCCCATGAAAGCTGCGTTTGCTTAAGAAAAAGAGAGTCCTAAAACCCGTACTCAGAATTGGACCACCAAGGAAACAAGCACCTTCTCACAGCCTGAGTATTGGCCAAACAAAGTCTGAACTTGAATTTCCACTAAATGTGTCTTTCAAAAGTACAAGTTCATATTTTTTCGAACTGTACCTCATCACTGGGTTGCTCCGAGTCTGAGCAAAGCCTTATGTGGCAATAGAAAAGCATATGGGGTGAGCTGGTCACACCAAAGACCAATTCGTTGTGTTGAACATGAAACAGGGTTCCTGCGAGTTGTGCTTTAAAACCCTTCAAAGCCCAACCAAAACAAAGGGATATCGCATGACATACCCCAAATTATCTTGGGAATCGCTTGCTTTTCCCTTGGAATCGATTGTTTCTGCATAGGTGCAAGTGATCCTCTACATTGGGGTTCTCCTTTTTTTGCCCCACCTCTATCTCACTGTCCACTTGCACACTGTTTATGCTTCAAGATTTAACCTTAGGTGGTTGAACCGCCTATCCTGACAGCTCCTTTTCGGAAAAAAGAAAACGGTCCCGCGCCTGCACCGACTCGACTCCTACCTTCTGCAGCAACTCCTGGCGATGACCGCTCGCAGATAGGGGCCGGCAGTTCGCCAATTTCATTACCGTCTGCCCCGCAAATATCCATTTGGGTGTGCTTTTTAACTAGGTCCTCCAGTAGAGAGGTTGGAATAAGGGTACCCTTCTTTGCTGTAGTCTATTTTAGTAGGGGAACCCTCCCCAAAAAAAGGGTAAAAGGGCACTATTGCAAAACCTACCATTTGGCTTCCCTTCCCAAATCAAGAAAAGGGTACTCTCAGAAACAAACACATCGGTTTTGCTAGCCTTGCCAGCAAATGTTGCTCTAGTCTTCCCAATCAGTTCCAGTTTTCTTCTCGCATCAGCAACATGGAACTACACACGAAATTTTGAAGGGACACCCCCTGCCCCCCAACTTCTCTTGCAAACAGGGGATGCTCAAAGGTTTGGTTCCGTTTTGGGACAAATCGGTGTGAGTCTAGGGGTTGAGCTTCCATTTGTTTTCGGCACTGGTGGTTGGGAACGTTGGGAATGTCTGAAAAGAAGGACCCCTGAAAAGCGCAAAGTGCAGCTGATGTGAGGTCAACGTACTTTCAGCAAAACAACACGACTCAAGTTTGAAGGACAGGACATCAGCACGTTCTTCCGGAACCTTTGTCACGGCTCATGAGCAAAATGATATCTTAACAGTTTAACAATCCAACTATTTCGGCAAGGGAAAGGTACACGGGATCCACACCTCCAACAAAAATTCCATGAGCACGCTGCTCCATTAGATTGACGTTGACAATCGCATCATGTCCATTCGCTACTTCTCCTTTGAAGCACCACAAGCCAAGCACTTTCTAAGGCAAAATCGCAGTCCAGACTTGGCCAGAGCCAGAATCGATCAATCACAGCCTCGCTTTCACGCGCTCCCCTTGCGAAATGTATGTTGCCCTGACAATCCAATGTATGCATATATCGCCTACATTGGCCGACGCCCGCGTTTTTCAACTACATTGACCGATAAACCCGAATGTAGCCAATTCTTGGGGACATTCAAACCGACAACTTCCGACAAGGGTTCCGACAAGCCTTCCGACAACAAGCTCGCCTCAATTTCGGCGACTCTATCCGACGACGCCCTCCAACCAGCCTTTTCCAATGCCTTTCCGACCGCTGACTTAACTCACAATGCAGGAAAATACAAAGGCACGCCGCAAATTGATGTACGGACAAAACTTACACTGCGAATGACTGGCAACAACTACAGGGCACAAACAGGGCACATAATGATTCGAGCCAAACCCGGCTATCATTGTTGGTAAATGTTGGTTACCTGCCATGCAACAGAAGGAATCGACTAGCATAGTGTAGCAGATCCTGCTGAGGACTTCCGATTGTAACGTTAACCATTTTGACGGGCTGGCTGGCTTGACGAAACAGTGTGGCGACGAAGCACGTGTGCGATAGTTCAAACTTTTCAGGCCACACCGTGAAGCACATTTCCAGCACTGGGTCACACTAAGGCAACGCCGGTTAGCAAAGATCACTCAACAAACATAATTATTGCGCATGGAGGACAACAACTCCTTGCAAAACACCTCGCAGCGGGAGATCCTGCCAGCAGTCACTCTCAACAAAACCTATCCAAACGCTGATGGGGGTTGATACCCCCCCAACCAAAAAGGTAAAGCAGAATGATGCTACATCGTTGTTGTCCACAGTTACACAATTTCGTCAACTTGCCGATGCGTAGCTAAAATGTGTTGCTTCCTGATTGCTTGCAAGCTGCAACCTCTGGCTTTGCGAGCTAAGTTTCTATATTATGTTTGATGCGTGCCCACGCAGGGGCGATGGATCATCATGACAAGCTTGTTCGCGGGCCATAAGCCGTCGACCGAAGGTAAGGGGTCTAATTTCCAACAATCGCATCTCCAACCAAACACTTGCTTAACACCATGCCGCAACCCCGTCCAGAGCGCAGCCCATCTTAAAAAGCCCTTGTTGCTCAAAGCAGGTGTTTCATTTGTTTCCAGAAGGCTCACTTTGAAAGCATGCTAGCCTGCGAGCAGTTCCCAAGCACCATTCGAGGGGCAACTGCTTGCCACGCGAAATTTCTGGTCAGATAGAAATTAAGGCTCTAATCCTGCCATGCCCCATGCCGCAATGCAAAATTCACAGACTTAGCAAAAAGCAGCTTTGTCAAACAAGATGTGCTGGGAAGGGCTCAAGCGGCGGTCTTGAGGAGAACGGATATGACGCAGTCCAAGCCCCATATATGGTTTTTTGGCAAGGACTTGGTTTATCGATGAAACCCAACTAGAAAGGGCACGAGTAACATGTTTGTCTAATGCTCTCCTTGATTAAACATGTCCTCGTCAGCTTCTCTCCGAATGTTTTGGGGCATACGCGCTAGTATTCCATTTGTCCGACAAACGCTTCTCCGCTGATAAGTTCTAGGCCGGCTTGCCAGGTGACACAATCAATCAAGCCACATCACTTCCAACTCACGGTGCAAGCAAAAATCGAGCCTCGTCACGTGTCAACACATGAACACAGTCCGGCAAAAAATCACGCTATTTCACGCTATTTCACGCTATTTCACGGTTTTCCGTTAATGTAAGCAAAAATAAGAAGACAATCCGACAACTTTTCACGCCAAATCACGCGAAATCACGGTTTGCCGTTTGCACAAGCAAAGGACAGGAACACAATCCGAGAAGAAGCCACGCAAAAACGACGAAATTTGTCGGGTCATTTACTCCAAATCGCTTGCTAATTTTGGGCATGCAGGTGTGAAGAACATGGTAGGGACATACTTTGGGGAATAAACGGACCTTTGCTGAACCGCATTTGGGTAGCAACAATAGGCACCTGTTGGGCCTTTAGTAGACCAAGCTTTGAATAGGCAAGACTGAGCTTTTGCATGGCTGATGCGATCCCAGAGCTGATGCGAGTAGACAATCCGGATGCCGAGCCTCCAGCATGCCAATGAAAACTGAAGAGCACTGAAGACATGCATGCTAAGCTTGTGGCTCCTTATCCGAGTTTACATAGCAATCAGTGTTGCCAAGCTAATAGTTGACATACAGATTGCGCGTGCAGCATCATATATCCCATGCTCAATCGGCAAAACGCCAGTTCTGCCCAATCGCAATGCAGTCATTGACCTAAACCTACAAATAAGAACACTGCTTTATGTTCTGAGCTTAGATATTCATCATCTTGAACTGCATGTGTACATAAAGTCTTGTACATGTGTATACACATAAATTTGCACCTGCGTAGCATGTGTATGTCTATGTTTTTGCTTAGCGGAAAACGCTTTTTGGTAAGATAAATTTAGAGTTTCTTTTTGGTATGCTTGGACATCTTGCTGCGTAGAGTGAGCACACTTGAATGGCCAACAGTTACTGGGTGGCAGTTGGGAGTCGGCTCGGCAGGCCAATTTGGCTTGGCGCTCCTCATCTCAATCATTCGGCATGTCCATACTTGCAATCGTGTGTAGGCTGTACTGTTGTAAAATGAATCCCTGGCAGTTGATAGATGGCTGTGCTTTCCAATGCGGATCAAGGTCGGCAAGTCCGTGCCTTTGGCGCAGAGCATGTTGAGTTTGTAAGCTTACGTATCATTTCAAATACGTATAATCCAAGATCAAAGCACGTTTACATGGGCAATAGAGCTCGAGGGCGGCTTTGCGTTGCACGGTTGAACAATTTGCGTACTCAATACTTAGAGCGGCTTTCTTATAAGAGTGCACCAACGCTGAACTGCCCAAGTGCACGAACAGAATCATTCCTGCAATTGTTGATTTGTTTCTTTGGCGTAGCCTGCTCGTCCGGAAAAACACTTGCAAGAGTCTGATGGCGAGCTCTCAACCATCGCTAGCTACAAACGTCATCAAATGTCCATGTCAGTAACGCGGTGTTTACCTTTGCTGAAGCAAGTGCAAATTAATGCAAGCGAAGTTGCTACACAACAGTGCTTTGGCAAATAGAGCAAGGTAGCAAGCATGATCATTGGACCCATGCACAACAACTATGCTCAATAAACTCCGCCACATTCGGGTTGAAATTTGACTATCGGACACGAGCTTCGTCAAATCTCATCATTTGCCAGGCCATATTTCGACATTCGACGGGGAATCGGCGAATGTATCATTTTTTGGCTATATTTCGACAATCCGACAGGGATCCGACGAATGTTGTCGTTTTTTGTGCTACATTGCCAATGTACCCCAAAAATGGCTACATTGCAATGTACGCCATATTTGCCTACATGGATTCTCAGGGTTGAAAACAGTTGCTTCTATAGAAGGGAACCTCATTCGACCTCATTGCATCAGCACCTCTTCAACCGAGCAACGCCAAAGCCGTCGCGCTTCTGACTGACGCGCACAAGTCTGCGGCAAGTTGCATGGGAAATGTTGACAAACCCTCAGAGGTACGGCACAACGGGGCTGGAAGTGCGTGATACGCAGATCAAAGCAATGCATCACTCAAACACCACCTTAAGTAAAGTTCATTAAACACTTGCTTATTGTCTGGGTGGGTGCCCGAAATCTTGGATCTTAAATTCCCAGAGGGGGTATTAGGGTCAAGATTGCCTCCAAACGTCGCCAAAAATCGCAATATATCCAGGAGCTAACTACCGGTTCTAGAAAACATAATACCGAATTTGGATTTCAGGTAGGGGCGTTCATGGAGCCAAGAGTGCTCCCCTACAAGCTCTAAAACTACTATCATAGAAAGTAATTAAGTCGGGAAACATGGCTGGTTTTTGAAAAGAAGTAAGCCGGTGGTAATGAACAGCCCGGAGGAATCAACATGTTCCCCCTTTACATGGGAAATCCCCTGTTAGCCAACCAAAGGTTTATTCATCCTGGATTCCAATTCTAGGTCCAAAGCTCTTTGGGAAAAGCAACTTTTCTGGAGAATGGTGACATATTGAATCAGAGCATCCAGTCCAATTTTATCTCCAAGGGCCTCCATTTGCTTGTTCGTCCCGGGACAAAAAACAAATGTTTATAGATTCCCTACAAAATGCGAGGGAAACATAAACTATTCTTCCCAGCACTCCCCACTGGCTAGTTGCCTCAAAACAGCCATTAGGAGGTCACCGAAAAACAGACCATTGGACAGCCATTGAGGGGGGAGGGGCTGGCAAACAAGCTGACCCCGGATGAAATCAAAGATTCCCCAGCACATTTCCCGGGATCAAAGATCGAAAAACTGACCCGGTGTCCCTGGTGTCGGCTTGGAAATCCTCACTTTCGGGGCCCCCCCGGCCCCACTTGCCCCCGCCGAAGTTCAGCCTGGCCTCGCAGCTCGGGCGCAGCTCCTTCCTGAAGTGCACCTCGTGGCCAGGTCTCCGAGCCCCGAAACAAGTGCACCTTATGACGAGGGATGTGTGGGGGGGGGAAGGCTGGTCAAGGGTTGGTTCGGGTTTGGGGTCTAGGCTGGTTTTGGTTGCATTTAGGGTTGGGTCAGGGTGGGCGGGGCGTGGTCCTTTGTGATTGATCTCCAAGTTTGCCAAAATATCAAAGAAAGGACCTGCATAGTAGTGAGCTCGTTCAGTCACACAGGTAGTCTAAACAGGGCACCCCTTCTTTATGCAATTGCTAAGGAGTACGCAGTAGGCGGGGGGGTCATAACCTCGGCTTCCCGGATTCCAAGGAACCCCAGGAACCTTAAGACACCTTTGCGCAGCTGGCGGGGAGTCACGGGGGGGACCGACTTCCCTGTAAGGCTCTCTTAGGAGCCCCATTGGACCCGCCCGCTTACATGTCCCATGGTTGAGTGGCTGGTTGCTCGCACTTGGGCGGTGAAAGTCGACATGTGTCGAAGCAAACACGGCATAAGAAATCAAAACTGGAACTAAGGCAGTGACCTGGGTTTCCGTGGGCACTTGTTTCTGGATTTTCCTGTTTCGAGCAAACATAACGCTCATTTCATCCAAAAACGCTCAATTGGAAAGTGGTTCTGGTGCGTGTCCGCACATTTCCGCTCATTTCCCGCCAATTTCCGCTCATGTCCCGCCGATTTCCGCTCATTTTCCGGGAGACAACTTGCAAATCAAGATTTGCGCTTATTTAGATTTTCCGCTCAACATCTGAAACGAGCAAAACAATGCCCAGAGCCCCAAGACGTGACCAAATGGAAGACCCAGGGATGGGAAACAATGATCGTTAACATATACTCACTTCCTGATTCCTGAGGCTGGCCAATACAAATCCAAACTTGTTGTTTGCCACTCGCATATATAGTCTCCCAACAGGTTTAAGCACATGAATTCAGGGAGAAAGAACGAGAAGGCAATAAAACGCAGACGTCAAGCACAACACACTCAAAAAGAAACCAAGACACAAACGACAGCAACACACATGAGTACTACATGAAGAAACAATGAACAAACTTCCCACTTCAACGGCCAACACAACGGCCAAAAGCCTCTCCATTTTATAGTCGCGATTTTGACCGAATGAAAGGAATCTTCAGAAGACTGCTCCTACCTGCCAAACACACACACCCAAACACAAAAAACAAAAAACACACAACAACACTGTAACACCCTTTCCATTCGCTTAGGGTCCCCTGGAAAAAAGAGTGCAGTAGTGTTGGTTTCACTGTAAAACCAACAGGGGGGAACAAACATATCCTTGAGCAAATGAAAACTGGGCTGCCCTCAGATCCCCGCTAAATAACTTTTAGTGGGTTAAATGAAAACTACCACTAAACACTAAGAGGATGGCTGGGAGCCACCAAGAAAAAATCACTCTCCCAGGTTTGGTCTGCGTCTTCCCCAGGTGTGACCTCTGAGCTGCGGGCCATATCTTGTATCAGCTGCTGGCTGCTGGCAGAAAGCTTCAGGATGCTTACCTGAAGCTTTTGCCATGCCCCAGCAATAAGCCATGCCCCAGCAATTTGCGGCCTCATTGGACCCCGTTTTGGCTTGACCAGTTCAAGTGGGGAACCCACCATTTTTCTTAATGAAAAAGGGTGCTACTCACCTAGCCACCATGTCAGCGTTTTGAGTGGGAAACCCAACGAGCAAAATGGGAATTCGAGGGTGCGACTGAAGAATTGAGGAAAACATCAGGGCAGAATTCAAACAATAGCCTCATGGTGATTCCATTGCATAGTAGGCACTCCACTCCCAAAAGGGGGTGTCCCAACAGGAGTTTCCTCTGAAACCATGGGATTCTAGGTCAATGAACAGGGGAACCCACACCGAGCCCAACTCAGTGGATTTCCGTGAAAAACAAGCATACCATACTCGGCACTCTTGTTCTTCTTGGTCGTTTTGCACTCTTGTCCGCTTGTCCTTCTTGGTCGTTGATTCAAA